ACTAATTCTGCTACACATATTATTAATTCAAAAAAAAAACAAATAAGTTGTTTACCAAACGCACGAACCAAACAGTTCAACAACATATCCAAAATAGGGGCAGATTGGTCATTTCTTCAGAATCAGCTGTTCTCAAAACGCACTAACCAAACAACCAGCTAGATTATCTGGATCAGCTGTCCATCAGCAGATTATCAGGATAAGTTACTTATCAACAGAAACTGGATAAGCTGCAGCTGCCCCAAACAGACCCTATATATGTCATTTTAAGTAATATAGGATCTTCTTTAAATACTCAGTATCGATCCTACGGAGATAGACAAATTTTTTATAAAATTTACTTTAATAAAACCTTCTTTTAATTGTAGTAAAATTATATAAAAAATGATTCAAGTTTTCGTGTAATATCTAATCCTATAGAATTAAAAAGAATGTTAAGTATGCCAAGAAAATGCAAAATGTACAATGCAGGACAATCTAAAGAGGTTTTAAAATGTAAAGTTAACACTAGTCTGAACTAATAATGTATGAAGAGTTCAAATTTGTATAAAACATCCTTCCCCTTTGATACACCTAAAATATATAGACTTTTTACACACATTTTTATACCTATTTTTGAGATATTGCGTTTTAATGAAATGTATTTATGTGTTTTTCTTTCAGGTATAATCAAATAGATGAAAAATGGTAAAATGACTGAAAAAAGGGTCAAATTTGGAGCAAAATGAAGAATCTGCAAAAATGAACTGAGGCTCTTAAGCGCCCAGGACTGGCACTTTCACTCTAGTTATACAGAGAGAGCCATGCCTAAGTGTCAGGTACTCCACGCTTAAGCGCCAGAAGTAGTTATTTGATGATTCATTGAATTTAGACAAATTTTTGAAGAGGTGTTTGAAGCAATCCTTAGTAAAAATGAGGGAAATAACCCATGGACATGAAAATTCATTCAATTGGGTTTTGAAAGGAGCCAACTTCTAGAAGATTCATTAAATAGAGGCATATTTGAAGAGACACCAAGATACCCCTTGATTTTTATTAAAGAAGACTTGGATCATCAAAGGAGAAAGAGACAAAATCCACATCCAACAATCATCATCCATCCAAGTAACCGTCGCCGCCGCCACCAGCCACCTTTTATTTTATTTTAAGTTTTAGTTTATATTGTGAGTGAAGGAAGAAAATTCAAAAGAACTACAAGACATTTGGTGGAGAGAATTTGAGATAAGTGTTTATCTTTGTGACTACATTTTGTTTTAATTTAGATTTCTTGTTTACGTGCATGATTTCTACTTTTCTCAATGAACTCTAATTAACTCTTCTTTGTAGAGTTAAATTCAAATTATTTTTTACAATGTCCTGGTGCTAGCTTTCTTATGCTTTTTATTTGTTCTGTATTAACTCACCCAGGCTGATTTAGACTCTTCTTTGTTTCTAGTAAATTTTTTTCGACAAATAATCAAATTAAAATGTATATGTAAGGGTGAGTGGTTGTTATTGTGAGATGTATAAATGATATGAAAAATATGAAGTAAAAAATCATATAAATGTGAGTGTTTGCCCTCTTCTTGTTATGCTTATGTGATTTTTTTTTTTGTATCTTCCCTCTCAAATAATCACTTTACTAAATCCACCTTATCACATCATAGTGCTGATGAAAATTAGAAAACGACGAGAGAGGTGTAAAAATTGAAAGGAAGCATTGATACGATAAAAAGGGTCTGGAATATTTCTAAAGGGTAGCCTTTGAAGGATGTGTAGGTGGTAGAAATCTAAAAAAAGTTTGATTAACCAACTCCATCCAAATCATGAAGATCTATGAATGCAAGACATATAATCAAAGAATCAAAATTTATTTTTTTTCAATGTACATGCACAAACCCATAGAAACATACTTTTGTTGTTAATTATACCTTGCAAGGTATCTCAGAAAAAAACTTTTGCTTAAAATGATTTTTCTTGAGTTCTAAAATATTTGATAGGATTATTAAGGAAGGATATATCATTTTAATATGAAAAAGCTCCAACTATAAAGCCAAAACTAGGCTACTAGATAGATGATAAATCACCACAACTTAATTGATGGTTTCCACTCAGCAAAGAGGACTTGGAATGATATCAATAAAATAAATTAAAGAAACATAATGAGCCCACAAGAGATTTCTCAAAAGATAGAGAAGGAATTTCTAAGGTTCATAAACATAACCCAATTCAAATAGCAAGAATTCATCATTTTGGGTCATTTGATTCTATTTAACCGTAAAGGTAGTCAACCAAACTCAATCTGAATGTTCTTGTTAGTAATCCAAAAATTACTCCAATGATTTTGTATTTCTTTCATAGCTTTCTAAAACTTTGATCCTGTACAAAAGAACAAGCAATTTTTTTTAAAAAGAATTAGGAGCATAGGTCTAATACATTGCCCGATAGGTTATGACTTTAAAAAAGGGCAACTTTTATGTATTTACATATCTAACACATAGACTTTAATTTTTTACATATACCTTTTCTATACATGAAAATGTCACTTTTTAAAAGTTAAAAGTGGTATTTTTGATATAATATGAAAGATATGGGTTGTATAAATGTAAAATTAAATTGTGTTAGATATGAAAATACATACTGATTGAGTGGTTTGTATGTAAACACTCTTACAAAAAATGCTCTTTAGTCTAATCACTTGAGCTTGGATCCCATGCAAGGGGTGCTGAATTCAAATATTAACTTAGACGTGCATTTTTGTCATTTTTGCTTTAACGTTAAAATTCCATAAACAAAAAAGCTTTATGGCATAAAATCTATAATGATGCAATTTTTAGTGAATGACCTTATAATTTTCGTTGAAAGCTCGACTACGACGTTCCGCCGAAGAAAAGACCAAGTGGCAACTTCCCATTAGCTTAGACTAGAAGTCGACAGTTCTCGGATTTCATCAGGTTTCTTTTCAATACAAGGTGCACATAAGACCCTTATAAGTTAAATGTCTGTAAAGAGCATTTCCATGAAGAAAAGACAAAATTTAACTAGTATAAATTGTCTCCATAATACAAACATTTGAGAGAAAAAAATTGATATATAGCAAAGCCATCGAAAGTAAGGATTTGTTTGTGGTGGTGGTGCTGTGGTCGTTTGGTATTGTATCGTAGTTTTTCCTGTTCGGCAAAACTACGTTTTGCTTGCATTCTCAAAAAGCTACCGCTAAAAACTGCGTTTTTTCCACCAGACCTAATTACCTGCGGTGGTTATCAAAAAGCTGTGGTCTAACTTAAAAAAAAAAAAAGAAAAAATTGCAACAGACACAACCACCTTTTGAACCGCTACTTCTTCAGCCGCTTCTTCAATGAGCTGCAGCTGCTTCAAACAGACCATAAATTAGATTGCTCATGAAGTAGTTGAACTTGAGTGCAGTGCAACAAGGGAGGCATAAGCCCCACCATTAATGTCGATTAGAATGTTGTGTTTTCCTTTCTCAATGATCACTCCATTTTTAACTAGTGCAATAAGATCAGCATTCTTGATTGTCGTGAGGCGGTGTGCAACCACCACAGTCGTCCGGTTGACCATCACACGATCCAATGCATCCTGAACAATTCTTTCGGATTCGGCATCAAGTGCACTAGTAGCCTCATCGAGGAGCAATATTTTTGGGTCCTTCACTATTGCACGTGATATGGCTATCCTCTGTTTCTGCCCGCCAGATAGTTGAATTCCTCGCTCTCCCACCATTGTATCATAGCCCTACAGTTTCCAACATCAGGCTGTCAGTGATAGCATGCAGAAATATGGATGTTAGAAAAGCGTCATACTTACATAACATTGATCGATATAAAAGACACACAGTTGCACATTTATATAACAAAACCATTTCGTGTAAATTTCTCAACTTAACCAGTCAGTTTGAACTGGGCTAAGTTGAAATGACAAAGTTACTTTCTGGCAATATATGAGTGAAAATTTCAGCTTAACTGCTTGATTCCATAAAATGCAAAGTTCCTATAAATCAACCATATACATCCATTCAGCCTATTGGAATCATTTTGCAACGTAGAACTAAAGCAAAGTTGGATATGATACAAGTTAAAACTAAGATTGCAAAAATAAAAAAAGAAGGATTTTTTTTTTCACTGCTCTTGAGATAACAGGCGATAATCATTCCTTGAAGCTATCAAAGAAGAGATCTGCTGGAACAGATTGATAAGAAAGTGGCTTACTAAAAACGCTGATTAACTGAATTGTTTAAGAAGCACGACTTATATCATATGATAATTTGTAAATGGATAACTCACCTGCTGCAAACTGCATATGAATTTGTGAGCATTTGCTGCCTCAGCTGCAGCTACAATCTCAGCTTCAGTAGCTTTCCCTTCTTTCCCGTAAGCAATATTTGCTCGAATTGTATCATTGAACATAACAGGTTCTTGACTTACCAAACCCATCTGCTGCCTCAACCATCTCAGCTTAAACTTTTGCAATTTAATTGCATCTAGAAGTATATGGCCCGAATCTGGGTCATAGAATCTCTGTAACAATGCTATTGCTGTTGATTTTCCACTCCCACTCTCTCCTACCAATGCAACGGTCTGTAGTGTAAAATGAAAATCATTAGAGCTGCAAATATGCTTCCATGGCTCCAAACATTTTATAATGCTGCATTTAATTTACCTTCCCAGATTTAACAGACAAGCAAAGATCCTGGAAAATCTGGACATCGGGCCTTGTTGGGTATTTGAAGGTGATATGACAGAACTCAATATTGCCTCTAACAGCGTCTAAAGTCATCCCAGTATCATCACTGGGATCAATTTTAGATTCCCGGTCCAAAATTGAAAACACAGATGCAGTTGCAGACTTGGCCTTAGTCGAATCTGGAGCTAGAGAGCTTGACTGAGAAATTCCCATGGCTGCCATTGATAAGGCGAAGAAAACCTACAGGCATATCAAGGCAAGGTATTAGCAGAGGTAAAATAAACATGAAAAAACTGTCATAACAGACAGGCATATTCCAGTATCTTCAAAATTTCACTCGGGACATCACGGGTTAAAATTGACGACAACACACCATTAATTCATTAGAATGCCCGTAGAACTAGTTAGAATAGGGTGCAGCTGCAACACCATCGATGAAAGAAATACATACCCGAAAAACTTTTCCAAATGTTGTCTTCCCGTCCTCGACCAATCGAGCTCCAGCATAGAAGCAGGCAGCATACACGCAAAAGAGCAAGAAGAAGGAAACCCCAAAGCCAATCCCACTAATCAATCCCTGTCTGATTCCAGTTCTCATTGGGCCTTCACACTTTTTCTTATAAAGTTCCATGACCTTCTCTTCAGCCGAAAATGAAGCAACTGTCCTTATGCTTCCAACTGCGTCATTCGCCACTTGACTTGCTTCCTCGTACATCAGCTGCACCAAATTGAAAATCAGATATGAGATGTTATATACTCCACCTATATACATAGCTGCATTGAAAGTTTAAATCTAAATTAACCAATTTCCTATAGGCTGTAGTCAAACCTTCGCATCAGCACTAAATCCTTGCATGAACTTCACCTGAATCAATCCATTTAGGCTAATGAGAGGTATCATAGCCAAGATGATAAGTGAGAGTTGCCAGTTAGCAATGAAAGCAATTAGCAAACCGGCGATCAAGGTGGTAATGTTCTGAACAATCAGGGATAGTGCATCACCCACAAGACTTCTAACTGAAGCCGCATCTGCTGATAGTCTAGCGCCAATTGCTCCACTTGAGTTTTCAGAATCATCGAACCAAGCAATCTCCATGTTGACAACCTTCTCAAACGTCATAAATCTAATCCTTCTTATCAATCTAGAACCAGCTACCCCAAAGAAGTATGATTTTGCGGGCTCTGCAGTTAAAGAAACTACCCCGAATATCAAGAACATTAGAGACCAAAACTTGGAGTCTTTCTTTAGCTTGTCCGGTGGCTGATAGAAAGTGTTAATAACGCTAGATAGGATTACACCAAAAGCTGGGAAGATAGTCCCATTTATGATTGAAAATGCTGCACCCAACAGCAAGATTGGGATTTCTGGTTTGTTTAGCGAGGCGAGACGGCTGAGAGGTACTTCCTTTGATTGTTCAGTGGTGCTACTATTGGGCGCATCTGGTGCATGTACTAAGACATCAATTCCTACAGGCAAACCAAAGCCTGCTGATAATGAATGGTGGCGGCTGCTATGCCCAAAAGATGAATCTCTGCTGATGGACTGTTTGATAGACATGTGTTGGCTCGAACGCCTTGTTCCATCTAGAGAAAGACTTCTTTTTTCATTGTCAGATTGAGACATGGAATCAGAATTTTGGTTCATTTCCTGCAGCCGGATAAGTTGGCTATATGCACCATTTGAATCCTTTATAAGCTCAGAATGAGATCCTAAAAAAGAAAATGCATTTCAATTAAGTAACTTCTTTTTAAGCCAAATCAACTATTAAAAGTACTAATTCAGATGTCGCATCCTCTTACATTTTATACATTGAATGTTTAAATTGCTGCAAGCCTATTAGAATTTATACCTTTCTCAACTATAGAACCACGGTGAACAACAGCAATAATATCAGCATTTCTCACTGTGCTCAAACGATGAGCCACAATGACAGTAGTGCGATTCATCATGACTCTATCAAGTGCTTCCTGCACAACTCGTTCGGATTCGGCATCAAGAGCACTGGTGGCTTCATCTAGTAGCAATATTTTTGGGTCCTTGAGAATAGCTCGAGCAATGGCAATTCTTTGCTTCTGGCCCCCAGATAGTTGAGTTCCATGCTCCCCGACCATCGTGTCCAATCCCTGAATATTATGAGCAACTTGGGTGATCATAGGTATCTCGTGGTTGACAAGAAAGACATTTAGAGTAGAGACTAAGACTAACCTGAGGCATCTTATCAATGAACTTGGAAGCATTAGCTAGCTCAGCAGCAACTCTGATCTCTTCAGTTGTTGCATTATCCTTGCCGTAAGAGATGTTATCCTTAATGCTTGAGGCAAAAAGAACAGGCTCCTGGCTCACAAGCCCAATCTTACCCCTAAGCCATCTAAGTTGAAGATCTTTAATATTTGTACCATCAATGAGGACTTCTCCCGTTTGTGGGTCATAAAACCTTTCGATTAGACTGATTACTGTTGACTTCCCACTACCACTCTCTCCAACTAGTGCTGTAGTTGTGCCAGAGTTAATTAAAAGAGAGAACCCTCTGAATATTTGTTCACCAGACCTTGCTGGATAGCTAAAATACACATCTCTGAACTCAATATCTCCACGAATGTCATCCAGCTTCCTTCCATTTGTGTCATAAGCATCAATCTCCGGCTTTCTGTTGATCATCTCGAACATCTTGTATGCTGCCGCTTGGCCTGCTGCAAAGGATGACAGGCAAGGCGATGCCTGACCTAGAGAACTGGATAAAATAAAATCACATTATCACATCAGTTATATTTTTGCTCAAAAAAAAGGATTTCCCCAAATTTTTCTATACCAAGACAATGTTGTTTTTTATTGTTTGGATTACGTTTTAGATATAAAACTTGTCTAATTGTCTAAATAATGATCCATTCTGTTGTCATTCAAGTTTAAATGGACGTAGAGTTTTGATGTGCATGAAGAAGAATCCAATGGGATGCCAGTAACTTACAAGGAACCAGTGATGAGTGCAAATATTACATTAATAACATCTGCACCACTGTACCCTTTGCTCTTGTCTAATATCAACTTTCCTCCATACCAAATGCCTAACGAATAACTGCAGAACATGAAGAACATAGCAAAACCAAGACCCACTCCAGCAGCAAGGCCCTCCTGAACGCTTGAAGTGTAGGCATTTCTTAGTGCATTTTTATATTTGCATACCGAAATCTTTTCACCGGTAAAAGATGCAACCTGAAACAGAAAAATGGTTCTAAACAAAAGAATAAATTGTTTTCTACTGATTGTTTAAAAAAGTGACAAATACTGCTCACAAAAGCTATAAGCTAGAAAAATAGAAAAATGTAACCAGGGAAAAATAGCATTCAAATGGCTAAACTTTGTGCCAAGATAAAGACCCTGAAAAAAGATACAATTGGCATGAACTTTACTCTTCTAGGAGGAGAATGGCTGTCCTCCTTAAAATTAAACGTGTCTTCAAACAAAAATCATATGATCGATGTCATCTCAAGCAAAACTTGCTAATGGATAATTTAAACAACCATAAAGCATCTAAAAAATTAAGGTTCATCACATGAAATATAAAACACAACTAAAACTTAGGCGGAGTTTGTTAGCGAATAATTAGGAGGATTTACTTGAGATTTTAACTTAAATCTATCCAAATGTAAAAAAATATGAAATAAATCTGAGAGTTTGCTAAATCTGAATTTCTCTTCTTCCGTCAAATTTTTGATGTAAAGCGGGATTTTTAAATCTGATTTTTAGGAGGATTTAATGAATTTAGTGCACAAAAAGACTAAACCAAAAAATAAGATGCCTCGAGGATTAATTGCTTTGAAAAAACCTCTTCTATTCATGAAAGACTTGGACTTATCTAGAGCCATAAAACTTTCTTTACAAATAAAACTCTTAACTTCTTCTATATTTCTTATTTATAAATAGGACCCTAAAATATATACAATTCTCAACATACCCCCTCAAGATGAGCAAAAAATCTTCACTAAGCCTATCTTGTCACATAACCTAGATAGATCTAATGGGTTAAGTCTCTTGGTGACTCAGTCAGCTACTTGTCCTCTATTAGTTGCATGTCTTATCTCTAGTAGTCCGCTATTTATCTTCTCCTTGATGAAGAACTTTTCAATCTCCACATGCTTGGTTCTGTCACGCTGCACCGGTTTGTTGGCAATGATGCTTGTTAACTTGTTGTAGCACCGCAACTTCATTTGAGCTACATGGTCCACCTTTAGCTCTGCCAATAGAGCTCTCAACCATAACATCTAGACAACCTCCAAGGCCATGGAATTGCACTCTGCCTCTGCCGTCGATACCACAACTACCGATTGCTTCTTGCTCTTCCAAGAGATCAAATTGCCTCCTACGAACATGCATTATCCTGACGTGGACTTCTGTCATTAGCACAACTAGCCCAATCAGTCACAGTAGCCCTCAATGCCTAAATGCCCCATTTTCCTTAAAAGCACCCCCTTATCTGGTGTACTCTTCAGGTACCTCAGATCTCATACATTGCATTCATGTGACCCTTCCTCGGATCATGTATGTAGGAACTCACCACACTCACTGCAAATGATATGTCAAGACGATTATGACTCATATAGATGAGGCGGCCTAAGAACCTCTGATATCTCTCACGATCAATTGACTCTCCTGCCTCTACGCTTAACTTTCCATTATGATGAAATGGTGAAAGTGCAGGCATGCATCTCAACATGACTATCTCGGTAAGCAAGTTTAGCACATACTTCTTATGAGATAGAATAATCCCTTCTACTCCATGAGCCACTTCAATCCCAAGAAAGTATATAAGCTGTCCCACTTCCTTCACCTCAAACTCTTTGCTCATAATTGCCTTACGCTAACCAATCTCTCCCTCATCATCACCAGTGAGAATCATTCATTGAATGAACACTATGTGGTCGGCATTGATCTGTCGATAGCCCATGCCCCACCATTGCTCCTCTAAATCTATCAAACCAAGCTCAAAGAGACATTTCAAACCGTTTAGTGACTTCCTTAATATACATAACTTGCCCACAGTTTGGTTTCCTCTAGCAGATCTCCATGAGAAATTTATTCTTCACATCCAGTTGGTATAATATCCATCCACCATTCACAAATAGAGAAACGAGTGTCCTGACTATGCTCATCTGTGCCACTTGTGTAAAAGTTTTCATCATAGTCAATGTCATACGTCTAACTATTCCTTTCACCACCAACCGTTCTTTATAGCAATCAATCTTAAAATGAGACTTTAAATCATTTGCACCCAACAGTCTTTTTCCCTGTTGGTAGCAATGCGAGCTCCCACATCTCGTTTTAATCGAAAGCACCAAGTTTCTTTAGCATGGTAGCCTTCCAATTTGGATCCTGTACAGAGACAATATCCAAAGATGCAATGAATGCACTGTATACAGGTGATATTTTAGATTAAACCCTAATTCTACCACCTTTGGACTCATTATTCTAGGGATTGGCTCTTCCTCATTCATTCTTTCCCAACACAATGGGACAAGGCATCAGCCCATAAACCAATCTCTCATCATCATTACCCTCCCCTCTCGTCTCATACCTCCATTATCTGATGAGTCACCAAAGGTTGTGATCACCTCCAAGGAGTAGTACGGTTTAACTTCTCTAAAAATCACATCCATACTCACAAATAGTTTTTTCTCGATTGGGCTTTAACAAATATAACCCTTTTAAGTAGCAGAATAACCCACAAAATACACTTTATAGCTTTGGAATCCAGATTCCCTATTGAAGGTCATTGTCATTCATGAAACATAGTAATCAAATACCTTCAATGGAAGGATCCCACCATTATCTCCTTTCAAGAACTCACAAGGAGATTGTCATTCCAACCCGCTTAAATGTATTCTATTGATCAATTCAGTTGCTGCCAAAATTGCTTGTCCTCACAGGTGCTTTGAGACATTAATCAGATCATCATGCTTCGGTCTACATATAAAAAGTGTATGTTCTTCTCCTCTACTATTCCATTTTGTGTCGGCGTGTATGGACATATGGTTTGATGTTGTTTCCCTTGAGCTAACATTATTCCTCAAACACCTTATTGGTATACTCTATCCTATTATCAGGCCACAATACCTTCACCACTGAATCGTATTGAGACTGAAGCACCTTGTGAAAAGCTTTAAAGAAGACAAACACATCATTTATGCTTTTCATCAGATGCAACCAAGTAACATGAGAAAAACAATAAATAAAAGTCATAAATTATATATAGTCATTCATTGAAGGTGTAGAACAAGGGCCTCATACATCTAAATAACGTTTCTGTCATGATCCCGTAGTCACTCGTGCCTTGCTGACGCGACCTCGCAGTCTTCAGAGCCACTCCTATCTCCTTCTTAGCCGAACTATAGCGGTACTGTAGCGCCGGCTAGGGTTAGGAGTTGGCTCTGATACCATCAAAGATTAATTGCTCTAAAGATATCTCTTGTATTCATGAAAGACTTGAGCTTATCTAGAGCCTTACAACTTTTTTCACAAATAAAAACCTTGACTTCTTCTAATTTCCTATTTACGAATAAGACCCTAACATATATACAATTTTCAACAATGGCCAACATGTTAAATAAATTTAAGTGGATTTAAACTAAACTGAACCAAATATTATTATGGATTTAGAGAATAAAGATTTGATAAATCCAAATTTACCAAAGTTACAAAATTTTATTTAACTTAAATTCTAGGAGAAGTAAAACACCCCCTTAGTGTCACCCAAGAACTTCACCAATAACAGTTATAAAATGATATCATAATATCTTGAATGATAGCTATGCAAATTTAAAGATATTAAAAAAGACACTCATCACTTCAAAAGTAGAGATGTTCTTCAAAAATCAAAACAGGTCATTGAGCAAAATTTTGAGGCAACCAATAAAGTTAAAGTGGTTGTTAGATTTCTTAAAATTGCCTTTGGGATTAGTTATAACAATCCTAAAGAGAATGCAAGTTTTCATTTTAAAATTTAAATTCATGACATCAAAATGTAAATTAGAGGAGAATTTTCATCATCATTTCAAAAAGAGAAAAATCCACTGTCATATCATAAAATATGTGCACTGGCATGCACGTATGGTGGATTTAATCATGCGGAAACACATCACTTACAGTTCTAATTGAACCGATTGCTTGCTGCACTATTACTGCAGCATCACCATAAGCTGTTTGACTTTTTGAAGCCATCTTGGATACAACAATAGACATTAGTGCGCCAGCAACAACAACGAGTGGAATTATTGATAGCATTACGAGCGACAAAAGCCATCCTTGAACAAATGCAACTATGAAGCCCCCAAAAAATGTTGATATTAGCTGAATAAACTTGCCAACCTGCAGTATAGCCAATGTATATAGCCAATGTTGGTCGACATAAAAAATGAAAAGCTTCACTTTTCCTTTCATAAATTCATTGGTGTTAATATTTGTACCTTCTCACCCATTGCATCTTGAATTAGAACAGTGTCACCTGACATTCTTCCAACAACTTCTCCCGTGCTTGTTTCCATATCAAAGAATGCAATTTCTTGCCTTAATATGGCTTTCAGGTACAAGTTCCGTATTCTTGCTGCCTGCCTCTCCCTAGTGACCATCCAACAAGACACCTCTGATAGAAAAATGAGAGCATTAGTCTCAACTAATGACATAAATATCATTTCAAATAGCACAATACACTCAAGTATACTTACGGAGAAAGGATGACACTCCTGAGCCGACTGCTAAGTATATAAACTCAAGGGCTACCTGCAAACATAAAAAATCGTAGGATAATAAATACAAAACCAATATACAAACCCAATATTTATGTTCTCATGATTATGCTTAAATTTTAGTTATTATGTTAGTCAGAACTCATCTAACTAACCTCTTTCACTCTGCACATCAAAACCATCACATAACCACTATAAACAAATGAAAACCTTATTCCTAAACATAATAAGCTTTCTAAGAAGTTTTATAATACCAAACCAACCTTCCCTTACACGACTGAAGAAATTAGCCAACACAAATCCATCCAAATCCATCCTTTTGCCTTGCAGGTAATAGCCACCCTTCGATCATATATATCTTCCAAATCCCAAATCCTCAAATCTCTACTAATACATTCCCTTAAAGCTCATCTCCAAGTATAAGTAGTTCTTCGCTCAACTTTATATCAGACACAATCATATCCACTCCATCAATAAAAATCATGCATAAACGTCAACAACATAGTATTCAAATTACCATCAATTTTCCAAATCCCAATAATACCAGTCCAAAAAAAAAAAAATCAAATAAGAAAATTCTGCTGAATAAGATAGCAAGAAAAAATAATATGTGAACAGGAATGAGTTCGTCTTTGAATAACAATGCCCAATTAAATCAAAATAATAAAAAAACTGTCGATGAAATACCAAACACTAAAAGTATAGAGGAACCATACCTTGGAAACCCTGTGAACCACATCATGAATATCTTTAGCTCCTCCGAAAGATTGGATTAAGTTGCCAAAGAGAACTGTCATGAGAGGCAATGCAGCCCCATTCGCCAGTGCTCCAACTGACCCCAGAATCATAAGAAAGACATCAATGGAGTCTGCGAAGGAAAACAACCTGTAGAATGGGACAGTGTATTTGTTCTCTTCCTTCTTATCACCATCTTCCTGGTTTTGAATGTTGTCTCCCTTAATCTCACCTGTTTCTTTAACCTCGGAGTTGCTAGAGGATGCCTCATGATTTTTTTCAAGATCAGCATGCCATCCATTCTCTTCGGCTATCACCTCCGCTGAAGGATTGACTTTGTCCTCTGTTTCCTTCCCCATAATTATCACTCTGTAGGCTCTCAATTTCAACGTCGTCCTCAGAGAAATTTTATTTTTTGATTTCTTCTGCTGTATATGCTCGTATCAGTTAGTTATTTAACAAAATTAGAACAAAAATTGTTTTAGGAGGCTAAAAGAACATATTGAAAAGAGAAGGAATCCCAATGTTTGGACCAAAAAAGATACTAACTGAAGGAAACTAAAGACAAAAAGGCAATTCAAACTTCATTGAAATTCAAAGAAAAAAACGGACATTTATTCGGTTAATCTTTTCGTAAAGAAGAAACTGCCCATCACTATCCTATTATTATCGAACAAAAAAGAATCAAACCTCGGGAAAGTGAAAGTTGCTTGCGGTCAAAGGGAAATATAAAACTTCAAAAGAAAGCTGTGACAACACCCAACATTTTAATTGCTGAAGAATATATCTATCTATATATATATCTATATCTATTTAAATATACATATATATATATTATTTTTAATGTGATATAAAAATTTAAAAATAATTTAAATAAATAAAAAGCATAAGAAAGAGAAGTGATTTAAACTTTTCCTCCATTAAATGATGCGAAGAAATAAATTCAAAAATAATTATCAACTAAATTACTTAAAACTACTCTTCAATCCCACTTCATCTACAAGTTATAAATTCAAAATTTAATCTAAACAGAAGGAAAACTATGATTTAACAAAAGATTAAACTTTATATGGCTAAAAAAAAAACAATCTGAAAAACCAAAGCTTAAAATCAAAGAGCCTCAGTTGGCCAAGAAAAATCGCAGACTAACCTTAGAGAAAGCAGACAGAGATCTTTCTTGCGTACTCCGAAAACTATTGCCTCTTGAATTTAAATTGGCTTTTAACGGAAACTCGTTGGATGATTCCTTTGCTTGGCGGGCAAGCTCTCTGCTCCCATTATTGGACCAGTCAAAGCACCGATTTTCTCCACGTGAAGGAAGCTAAAGAGGATTCAGAGTGGGCGCCACTATGCCAAACAATGTAACTTTAGGTCTCTGTAGTTTCTGCCTTTTAAGTTTTCAACGCCTTTTATATTATCTCGAGAGCAGCAGCATTATTGCTCCCGATACTGTTTTAATATATTAACTGTAATTTAGTGTCCACTGCTTTTAAAGTTGGCTTTACATATCCGCTCCGGCATAAATAAAAATTCCACTTCCCTTTCATGGTAAAGATGTAATTCTGTTTAGGCATTTCCTTTTTTGGTCTGGGATTCGATTCTCTCTGAGTTTAAGATATAGTACTCGAATTCTAAGGCACATGAGAGATAATCGGGCCTCTTATAATAGCCTCCGGCCATTTATTTTCACTATATATATATATATATATATAATTAATATTAACTGTCTTATTAATATAATGTAAGTTTTATGACATGAGGTAGATGATATCAAAACTTTTGTGAAAGATGTGTTAGATATAAAAATCTATGAAAACTGTGAATTATTTATATAAAACTCCCAAAGAAATTTAATTAAATGAAATTTTTTATAACTTAAGAAATTAACATAATATTTCAGACATAAAACAACTTGAGATTTTTAAGTTATCTATTATGTTGAGCATTGTTCTAACAATACTTATGGTTGGCACGTAAACCGGGTAGATTATCATAATTAGTCTGCTTAATAGAATTTCTTTAAATATTTTATAGATTATAAACTATGACATTCAAAATATTTTACATTTTATAACATATAATTGAATATAAAATACGAAAGTCAACCATGTTAGTGTATATTCTAAATTCCATATTTTACTCTTAATTGTTTTAATACTATCCGTCATATTAGCATAACTCATATTGATCAGGCTGAAATCTCAAAGAACCATTTGTGCTAAAAATGCTCATAATTAAATTTTGGACTATCAAAATTTTAATTTCAACAAATTTACAATCCTGCAGAACATTTTGCTGAAATGAATGCATCACTATAAAAAGCGATCAAAATCTGACAATACATAATCCCAAATCAAATACTTCAAGCATAATTGAAAATAATGTCAAAATGTTTAATATTACATAATCAAATACTTATTTAGATTATATCTAGAGTAAAAGTTAATGTGCACATGATTATAATATATTAACATCTGATAAATGAAGTTAATGTGCTAGATAATCTAAATAATATAATCAAATTTTACATCTCTGAGATTATATAATATTCCCTGAAAATAATATTATATAATCCCAAATCAAATACTTTAACATTTGCTGAAATCTCACATGATTATAATCAAATTGAGCATCTCAATTTAACAAATTTTACTTCTCTGAGATTGCTTAATTTTTATATCTGATGCGTGCTAGAAAATTCACGGCAATAGATTAATGAATTATCGTCTTAGCGTTGCACGAGAATTCAACACACTTAGATAAAAGAAAAAGCCAATAGTAACACTAGAAGTTGTAACATGAAAAACCTGCAAAGACAAAAAACTACAAGGTCTGACCCAGTTATAAGAATCCACTATAATTTGATGATTACAGATACTCCTCATCCCACATGCAGAGAATAGTTACAAATTATTCCGAATTACAACGTTGACGTGCGAGTGAACTTATTGTAAGGAGTAGGCGGCAACCGATGGTGATCGGTGGAGGCCTGCAGGTGGTGGTCGATGGCGGTCGACAGTGGTCAACAATGGTCGGTGATGATTGATGTGGTTAGTGGTGGTCAATGGCGTTTGGCGGCAATCGATGGTGGCAAGAGTGGTGCTGGACTGCAGCTTCTTCTCAAGGCTTCAAGTTCTTTCTCAATCCTCAAGCTCTTCTCCCACTCAAGAGAGGGTGGACCTCTATTTATACTGTTTAGGGAACAATTTATGCATGAATATGAACCACTTTGATCTGACAGTCAAAAGAGCTTCACTCGATTAGACGACGTTTGATGGACATGTGAGTGTCTTTACGATGTCAGAATTGAGTAATCTTGGGCTCGTTGGATTTCTTTTGTCGAAACACTTGATTTGACTGCGGGCTTACAAAATTTGACCTTATAAATATGTCCAAAAATCTTCCACGAGTGGTTTAATGACTTGATCAGAGCTTGATCTGACTCGAATTGGACTTATTTTGATATCAATGGGTCCGTCTCATCATGCTGGTCAATTTGATTGTAAGTTTACTAAAATCGGAGCTTTGAATGATTTTGTATCAAGGTTTGAATATTTCTTGCTCAAAAGATTGACTCGAGGTTCGTGTCATGCCTCGAGATCCGTGCCAATGATGAGAATTTATTGATGAAGTATCAGTTGTCCCCTATTTTTGGACGAGACAATTTTCGTCGTTCGAAAATACTAAAATATGGAGCATTATATATATATATAAAAGTTAATGTGCACATCTTAAAAATCATGCTTAGCACATTTGTTGGCATGTTATGCTTCTTGAGGCTGGGGATTGATCCAAGGTAATGCGAATTATACAATTTTTTTTTTTGGTTAGTAATCATACAAATTTTGGTAATCAATATATATATTGAGAATTGATCAGATTTTATGAAAAACACAAATATGAGAATTTAAAAGGTTGCATATAATTTATATATATATATATGAAATCATTAAATTCTAGATATGGGAATTTGAAAAGGTTGCATATAATTTATATATATATGAATCCATTAAATTATAGATATTGGAATTTGAAAAGGTTGTATATAACTCACATTAACTAATCTCATCTCTTTATTTTCTTAAAGAGACACTCTTTTTTTTAGGTAATTTGGAAGGCTTAAAGTTGAGAATATGAAATTTTTTTTCAGTTTTTTATTTATTTGAAATGAGGAAGCCATAAGGGCATAACGTGGAAGCCGGAAAGACAAAATGAATGCAGATTTTAATTTTTTTTTTAATAATTGCCTTTATTGCTAGGTCTCCTCTTAAGCTTATAAATAGAGGCCATAGATGAGGGGAAGAACTACAGGTGAGGAGAAGGAGGAGAAAAAGAAGAAGAGTTGAGAGTGAAGCCTTTTGCTATTGAGATTTTTCAGAAGAAGAATTGTCCTCGTCCTGTGTAGCAAGATTGCAACGTGATTTTTTTTCGTGTTATGACCAAGAGGAAAGTCATCCCCGTCCTACATAGCAGGTGAGCAATGAGATTTTCTTTGTGTTGTGACCAAGAGCAAAGTCAATCTCGACCTGCGTAATTGGTGAGCGAAGAAAATTCTTTCATGTTGCGGTGAAGAGGAAAGCCATCCCAGTCTTGTGTAGCAGACGAGTAACATGATCTTCTTTTACATTGCATAGGAGAGGAAAATCATCCTCGTCTTGCATAGTAGGAAAGCAATGATATCTCCTTTCACGTTGTAATGAAAAGGAAAATCGTCCCCGTCTTGCTTTGCAAGAGAGAAATGAGATCTTATTTCACATTACGACGAAGAGAAAAGCGTCCCCATCCTTCATTACTACCAAGTAATAGGATCCTTTTTCGTGTTACAAAGTAAAAGAAAGTTGCCCTCATTTTATGTAGTAGGAGATCAACAAGACCCTCTTTCAAGTTGCGACATAGAAGAAAGTTGTTCCCATCCTGCGCACCAGGTGACCAAAGGGATCTTCTTTCGCATCAGTGAGATGAAGAAAGTTATCTGTCCCTACACAGTAGGTAACTCGGGATCTTCTTGCTTGTTGTTACTGTGCATTTCAGTGAAGATTAAGAAATGCTAGAGTTTTTCCGCTGTGCTTTGTGGTGGACAACTATATGCTTCTGTAGCGATGATATCTCTTGTAGCCGTTGAACTAGTTTTTGTTGGTCTTTATATTCTTTTAAATCAACTGATGTAATATTTATAGATGATGGTAATATATTTCTTTATATGTCCTTGACGTTGCTTCTGAGGTTGTTGTGGATTTTAAATTGTGCAAAATTCTGTAATTAAATTTAGCACAAACACTTTATAAAATGCAGAATTGCACAACTTTTGAGACTCATGCCTTCCGAGGTTGTGTCTCTCAACTTTATGCCTTATAGGAGCTTGAAATGAACCAGTACCTTCCGTAGCTCGTAGCCTTCTAAGGCCTTTTATGTACATGTGCCTTCTGAGGCTTGTAGTCTTCTAAGGTCTTTGATGTATTAGTGTTTTTTGAGGCTTGTAGCATTCTAAGATCTTTGATGTAATCGTGCCTTCTAAGGCTTATAGCCATTCGAGGCTTATAGCTATCTGACGTCTTTTAGTGGAGACCCTATCAACCACCTGATCTCCTGTACTCTTTCTAGTGAGATCCCTTCCCACTACTGGATTCTCATTAAAAAATGCCTCTTGTGCTCGTCTTCTAGGGGCATGACAGCTTCTCATCAAGTTTTGCTTTTCGGGCTTGAATTCTAAGAGCATCATAACTCTCCATCGAGTTTTGCCTCTTGGGCTAAACTTCAAAGCGTACTGGATATTCCCATTGAGTTTCGCCTCTTGGGTTTGACTTTCAGGAGCATGATAACTTTCTTTCGAGACTTTCTTTCTGGGCTTGTGTTTTAGGAGAACCACAACTTCACATCGAGTCTTGCCTCCTAGGCCCAACATCCAGGGATACCAGATCTTTCTATCTAGTTTTGCCTCTTAGGCTTAACTTTTAGGGGAATGGTTGAAAGGAGAATCTACTAAGGATGTAAGACAAATTCTGATTTGTATAGTCAAAGAAGCTTAACATTATTAACCCATAATGGATAAAGCCATATGAAATCCATTGCAGATAGTTGATCTATCCTAGTTTGTTGGTCGAAGCTTTTGCTTGACTACTGCAACATGTTATCGAAAAGGTCAAAGAAAACCCATCAAGGATCTTTGACCTAATTGAGACTGTATGCAAAACTTTTTCTTGAAGGTTATAACGTGTAATGGAAGAGGTCTAATCAAGTCATCTTGGGATCAATTAAGCTTATAATGAGGTGTCACTATAATGAGGTGTCAGAGATGCTCTATATTTCTCGAGACTTGGGTGTAGGTCGCAATGAGTTGTATATCTTCTTAGAAATACGGTTGCAGTCATTTTTGAGAATAATGTTTGACAACT